AGAAGCACATTCGACCATCTGCGGAAGACTTCTCTTGCTACCGCCTGGACGGTATTTTTCCTAGCTATTAGCCGATGGAGATGAGTCATGAGTCCACTGTGGCAACAACACGCGGCACTCCTGAACTACCTCGCAGCCAGGGCTCACCAGCTCAACCAAAGCCCAAACTCCCTGTTCAGAGATATTGTTTTTGATTTGTTAGATTGAGTGGGTGTTCCGTTTTCATAACCGCTTTTGCTATATGCAGGACAAGTATTGCGAATGCCATCGTGGAACAGCTCCGGGGTTGGCCGCAGTAGTGCGAGAGAACCGTCCTAAACGTCTCCAAAATCCCCTTTCTCCGATGAACGCCCGACCTCACATTGCAAGATAACTCGCCACTTTTGAGGGAAACTGGCTGGACCAAAGTATCATATCTATCGTATAGCCCTGGCATTACTCCATCGGACTATCCCTTTGCTTTACCGCTAAGCAGCAGAGGAGAGAAAAAGTCAATGAATACAACCACCTCAAAACGACCTCGACTGTTCTTCGAGTCCTAGCTTCACTCATTCTAGGAGGAAAGCATCCAAGGTTTCCTAGCAAATGGATGCATATCAGTGATTATGATAATGGTTATATTTTTGATCAATTGGTTTTAGAGGAAAGATAAAACTCGATGAGAAGAAAGTGTCGAAATTCGGACAGGAATTATGGGACAACCCAATAGTTGAACGGGTGGTCAGCGATTTCTTTGACTCCTAGCTTTCCTAGTTCTAGGAGATGAGCTAATGAGAGCTATGTGGAAATTCGGGTACACCAGTGAGACGAAAAAAGCGGTAGAATGTAATCACAAATGAGAAATTTCTCTTTTCGATAAATCTTTCTCAAACGTAGAAGTCATAGACCGTAAAGATCAAACATTAGGTTGAGAAGTTTCGAAACTATACACCGTTTTTTTTTAGCCTCACGGCTCTTTGACTTTCTGTTTTTTTGTCGGAGATTATGATGCAGTTTGCAAGCGCGCAATCTCCTACACATTGGTGCCCAACACTGATGTAGTCGCTTCACTATGTAGCCTTACACGCTAGTATAAAAGTTAGCTCATGCTACATGGGTAAGTTGAGCTCGAAACAGAATGCATTGCTCGTAGAATCAATGAAGCTCTGGGATGAAGGCACGGTTGCAGAGAGGACTGTTCGAGAGCGTTTGTTGATTGATTTTTTGTTTTGTTTTTCTTTGATTTTATTCATAAATTTGGGTGTGAAATGAAAACGGCAGGCAATTTGTACTCAACCTATAAAACGCACCATCATGTTGTTTCGTGGGTTTGTGTTTTTGGTTTCAAGACTGAAACGCGGGACGGGACGCCCCGCCCCCTCTACAACTCAACCAAGTACGACCCCCCCCCTGACGTAGGGTTGACCCTGCGCAGAGTCCAAGTCTCTGAGGCGTAGGTTAGGGCAGGAAGGACAGCGGAATCGAAGAGGTGGGCACGGAGCCGGATGTTCTTCGTCTTCTTCACTACTCCCTCGATGTTCTTATACGCTCCCCAAGCCGCTCGTTTCTCCTAAAGGCAGGGATAGCCGAGTGGTTAAGAGGTTAGACTCATGTCTGCACCTCCGAAAACCGCGAGTTCGATCCCTGCCGAGGCTCTAAACCATGCCTTGCAAAAATTGCAAAAATGGTTCTAGTACCAGCGTCAGGCCCAGGTTGACAGGCCGGCTGATGAAGACCCCCGTCACACACAAATATGTCTAAAGTCGAAAAAGGAATCAGTGATAAAGCTAGGACGTCACCCGGAAGTGGCGCGCAGAACCCCCGCCCGAGTTCTGTGGTCAGTATGCGAGGGCTACCGAGGAGTGAACGGCCTCGGCCAAAGAAGCTAGTTCGAATAGGGACTCTGAACGTAGGGATCGCTAACTGGGAAGTCCCGAGAGGTTGCTGACCTGATGACGCGCAGAATATCCAAGTCCTATGCCTTCAGGAGACGCGATGGAAAGGTGCTAAGGCCAGGGAAATCGGGGAAGGTGTCAAGCTCTACTACAATGGAGAAGACACCAAGCGGAACGGCGTGGCCATAGCGGTAGCGGAGTCGCTCAAGGACTATGTCTCCGCTGTGAACAGGATCAGCGATCGGATCATGGCTGTGAGGATAGACACGAAGGAGGGGTACTGGACCATACTCTCCGTGTACGCACCGCAAGCCGGGTGCCCCGAAAGTGATAAGGACGAGTTCTATCTAAGCCTGGACGAAGCCATAAGATCGGTTCCGGAAGGCGATTACCTGACCATAGCAGGTGATCTGAATGGCCACGTCGGCAGTGACAGAAGAGGCCTAGAAAGGGTGCACGGAGGTAGAGGGATAGGATCGAGGAACGCTGAGGGAGAGAGGGTTCTGGACCTGGCTACGGCCCACGACTTGGCAGTCTGCAGCACGTTCTTCGCGAAAAGGAAGTCTCAAAAGGTAACCTACAGCAGTGGAGGGAGACAGACGGAAATCGACCATGTGCTGGTGAAGAAGATCAACCCTCAAAACTGTGAAGGATATCAAAGTTCTACCCGGCGAAGACCTGGCTCCCCAGCACAGGCCCCTCCTGGCAGACATTGCGATAGACCTCCCCAAGAAGACAAGGGTAAGAACCGAGAGGAGAATCCGGTGGTGGAAGCTGCACCAAGCGGAGAAGGATGACCTCAGGCGAAAGATAATGGAAGTCGGTCTCCCAGATCCTAACGGGCCAGTACAATGGACTTGGGGCAACGCGGCTGAGACCATCCTGCGATGTGCCAAGGAGGTCCTGGGTGAGACGCGAGGTGGATTCAGAGGAGACAAGGCAGCGTGGTTCTGGAACGAGGAGGTCCAGCGAGTCGTGAAGAGGAAGAAGGAAGCATACAAACGCTGGCAGAAGAGCCGAAGTCCCGAGAACTTCGCTGCCTACAAAACCTGCAAGAGGCTTGCGAAGGCTGCCGTCGCAAGGGCAAAGAACACAGAAATGGACGCCCTGTACGAGAAGTTGGAGAGCCGAAACGCAGAGAAGTTCGTCTTCAGGCTGGCTAAGGCCCGGCATCGTGCTACCCAAGACATCAGGGTGGTGAAAAGTGTGAAAGGCAGAGATGGTGTCATCCTAAGGAAGCCAGCCGAAGTCAAGAGGAGGTGGGAAGAGTACTACAGTGCACTTCTGAACGAGGAGTTCCCCCACGAGAACAACTCACGGGCAGAGGCCACAGCTGGTCCCATCGCACTCTGGACTGAGGATGAGGTTAGGTGTGCACTTGGGAGGATGAAGATTGGGAAGGCGGTTGGCCCAGATGGGGTGCCAATCGAGGCTTGGAAGGCGCTCGGTGAGTACGGGATAAGATGGCTCACACGATTCCTCAACAACATAACTGCGGAAAGGAAGGATGCCAGATGCCTGGAGAACAAGCACTATCGTCCCCATCTTCAAGCAGAAGGGTGACGCGATGGACTGCTCCAACTACCGCGGGATCAAGTTGACTGCTCATACAATGAAGCTGTACGAGCGACTGGTCGACTCGAGAACTGCGGGAGCTGGTCCCCATCTCCCAGGAACAGTTCGGGTTCATGCCCGAAAGGTCTACAACGGATGCCATCTTCATCGCAAGGCAAGTGATGGAGAAGTATCGAGAAAAAAGCGCCGACCCTGTTACCTAGCCTTCCTCGACTTGGAGAAGGCGTTCGACCGGCTACCACGAGCGGTACTGTGGAGAGCGCTTAGAGAACGGAACGTGCCAGAACACCTGGTCTCGCTGGTGAAGGACATGTACGACGGGGCTAAGGCAGCCATACGCACCCCACATGGCCTAACAAAAGAGGTAAACATCACGGTTGGGGTGCATCAAGGGTCAGCTCTGAGTCCGTTCCTCTTCCTCCTAACACTAGATGTCATGGTGAAGGGGCTCATAGAAGGACCACTAAAGACCATCCTCTACGCTGACGACATCGCCCTGATAGCTGATAGCAGAGAAGAACTACAGGCCAAGGTGCAGAAGTGGCAGAAGGCCCTGGCAGAAGGGGGGCTCCGGCTAAATGTCAAGAAGACCAAGTTCC